CATAGTTAGATAAACAAATAGATTTATAGATAGATACACAGAGAGATAGATACAGATAATATATGTATATATATACACACATACATATATATATAGATAGATAGATAGATAGATAGATATAGATATGAAGCAGAAACTGAATCTCAAATTTCCCGCAAGAGATATATCAAATCCGTAGAACATCTTTCATCCAGAATGCAGCGTAACATTATAACATTGCGTAACATTATAGAGCAATACATCAATAAAAAGCTTATGTGATATAGATACTGAAGGGGTTACTTTTAGTGCATGACGGGAATAAAATAGATAATTATCATGTATTTATAGAAAAAGTATGTAAAAAGTATATGCAATAATGCTAAAACGTAACAAAAAATAATACGCAATATCTAATCAACATCATACGCCACACTTCCACATGCGTTTGCTTTTGTAAGTCAGTGTGAAAATGTTGCAACATTACAGTCATGAGTCATGATTTTGGAGGATGACGAAATAGCTACAATAGCTTGGTGAAACTCATGTACTCATACCGTTATGCATACGTAAAGTTATACGGCTGTATGTGTGTGTATATATATACATACATACATACGTACATACATACACATACATAAATATACGCATGAATAATTACATGCATAGATACATACACACATGTCTGTTTACACACACACCCCGCTCGCGCTTCGACGAGTCCGCGATATTTAGCTATTTAATTTATCTATCAGTTTCAATATACTTGACTCACAGTATGTACCACCAGATTACAGTTACAGTAATGATATCAGAACATCGTTATAACGTCACAAGCCATAACATTATAACAATGAGTGATAGTATCCTCTATGTGCAGTGTATGATTTTACGCACTGTGCATGGAATCACTAATCAGTACGTGCGGCATAAGCATATTTCCATGGCTATATATTACATGACAGACACTCTATACATGAAAGGGAATATACAGTGCGTGTGGTATGAGTATACGTCTATGTCGATATGTTAGAGGACAAAAAAAAAAGAAGAAAATCCCTACATGAGAGGAAATATGAGACAGCTGTTTCGAAATCTTTGCGGCTCTTCCCCTGAGGTCCGAAGCTGAACGCGGATTGCAGGAGGATTTCGAAGCCTGTCTCGCCTTTCAATGAACCTTCGGGCAGTGTATATATATGTTTGTATGTATACATATATACAGTGGCGTAGTAATAGGGGGGCGAGCGGGGCGAAAGCCCCGGGCGCCACTTCCCTAACAGGGACTTATGAATTTTTTAAATTTAATCTTGACCAAATGTATTAATGAACCGAATAGGCATATATAAGAAATGGCCTGAGTACCCATTTTTGACAACTTATTATCTCATTCGTTTTGGACTATATACTTATAAATATTATGTGTGTCTGACAGGCACAATATCCTCGTTGGGTCATTCCCCATAGGTACACCCTTTATTCTCACCCGGTCCACCAGGTCGCCATCTGGTGAGTGGTGATGAAGGCTGACGGCGGAAGGCAGACTGCTTTCCACTCCAGTGTGTTTCGCAAGCTACACAGTTGCGCGGGAAAAATGTAATCGGCTCATTCGGCTGGCAGCCTGACAGGTAATTATCATTCTGTTGGACTATAGATCGAAACGTTTTGTTACAGAATATACGGTACAGATTGTTAAGTGAGCGGTAGGCCTAATATCCAACCTAATCTGAAAATAGGGTGGGCGACAAGGCGAGCGATAATAGGCGGTAGGCCTACTATTTAGTTTACGTAAACCCACTCCTTTCGGGAGTGGGCGTACCTCCAACTAGTGCTATAAATCTGTATCGTATAATTTGTGGTTTTGTTGTCGTTAAGTTGTCGATCTTAACATGTGGATCTGTGTGGACTTGTGATAAATCTTGAAAATCATCCCAAATTCAATCCAAAGCCCAGTGTCATAGAAGAAGTGTAAGTTAGTTGGGCCCTAAACCCTGCCAAAAAACTGTTTTATGGGCCCTAAACCTGCCTAAAAGCTGATGTAGACCCGATTGGCACAAAAATTGAAATAAAAAAAAATCCAAAAAAAAACAGAAATTCCGACCCCTTACCCTAGTTTCTGACACCTATGTAACCGGGAGCACAAATATTTTTTTGGCTCTATGGTATAAGCCGGCTGATGGGGTCAGACGGCTTATCGAGTACCCTGTGTAAAGAATTGGCGATATTTAAGGTGGCCAACTTTTTGACCAAAAAAAAAAAAATATTAAGCGAGAGTATTCAAGATCGCCTTCGACATAACTATAATCACCAATAATCATTCCACACCAGGAGGAAATATTTCTCCAGGCCTTGAATAAACAATATTTTTTTTACAATTTTTCTGTTTGATTATTCATAGGCAAGATAGGTGCTTCCATAGTTGTAACAAACAAGTTACGTGAAAAAAAAAAAAAAAAAAAAAAAAAAAAAAAAAAAAAAAAAAAAAAAAAAAAAAAAAAAAAAAAAAAAAAAAAAAAAAAAAAAA